GCTCCGCAATGGGAGAGGCCACAACAGTGAGAGGCCCGCGTACGGCAAAAAAAAAAAAAAAAAATTGTAAAGGTAGTGAGGAATGAGTAAAGAACATATATGTAACAGAGAAACATATATTAAGAGAGAAACAACTTGTTTTGAAATTTCCAATTACCTCAATTTACACCTTTTTGGACATATTATATTCCTAGGTTGATAATTTACTGAATTCCTCTAACTTTACTGTATTATAGAAAATTTATATTCATCTTTCAGGTATACGGAGAAAATACCCCTCCTGTTTCCAGTAACACTGGCCCTAAGAGAACAGGTTCATTAGGAGCTGCCAACAAGAGCCGAACACCTTGGTTATGCCCCACAGCAATCCTACTGCTAGAGGTCCATCATTCCCTCGCAGCCCATCTCTCTCCAGAAGAGAAGCCCCTTACCATAGCCACCAAGAGGCTAATTGATGTCCTACATTTTTCTGCCCCCTCATGCCAGCTGCCTCAACATAGGACCCCAGAGGAATCAATCTGTAGTCCACACTGAGCCCTCCACAGAGACGTAGCTGAACTGGGAGCACAGCCATGCTAATGACAAAATACTAGTGGTTCAAAGCACCCAGAATGCCCTGATGCCACCTGGCTGAGGTCTGCTTGTGCTGTCTCTTCGTTTGCTTACATGAGCTGCATAATAAACTGATGCAAATTTCAGTCTGCTTCTGCTTCTTGCTAGCAAAGATGTCCCAAGATATTTCACAAGAGGGGCTAAATAAGGGGCTACTACATTCTTATCACTATTTCAAGGGCATCCATATGACCCAGACAACACAGAGAAGAGAGTTAAAATAATCTGCCTCTGAAAAAAAGTTTCATTCTTTGACTAGGATGAGAAAACAGAACAAAAACTTTACTTACAGCTTAGAGCACGTCACTATTTGAGTAAAAAAAAAAACAAACAAACAATTTCCACAACTATTTATTTATTTCATTCAGTTTTCCTGTCTCACTCTTTTCACTGTTTCTCCACCCTGCCAGGAGAGTACCGAGTATTATCACTTGTTTCGATGGATCGCGTTGAATTAGGGGACTAACCACTCACTGAAGACCGAGATGACTATGCCACATACAAAGTTAAGTTCAAAGTAGGACCTACTTAATATGGAGCATGTTTAAAAGCACCATGCGGAAAATGAGCTTCCAATCTCTGCTCTTTAAAGAAAACTTCCTAATAGTAAAGGCCCTGAGGCTATTAAATGTTCAACAACTAAGTGGGCAACAAATTCTGTGGTAAAATTCAGCCTTGTAGGAAGGACAAAATCTTGAAAACTTCAAAAGCCCACAAAGTATTTGTTTGTATTCCTTTTCAAACTCAGGTACACTAACATTCTAGTAAATAGCATTATCTTTTGCTACCAGGAAAACAGTAGTATTTGCAAAGCTTCTTCGGCAGGATCTCAATAAATGCCAAAACAAAAACATCACTTAAAACCACCAGGAGGGAAGACTGGACATCCAAGACCTAGGTCTGTGTCCAGGCCTTCCCATTCATTAGCAATGTGACCTCAAACTGAATCTGAGCTCTTTGAGCCTCAGATTCCTTATCTGTAAAATGAGACAGTTGGACAAGACCTCTAATGTTCCCTTCCAACTCTCCTTGAGCAACTATGATTTTTGAGGCAGTCTTCACGTTATGCATGCTAGGATAAAGCCAATCATATCCCAATTTACAAGGTGCTACAGAGGTCAAAAAGTATTTTCCCTCATGGTACCCAACATCTGACAAGGTACACTACCGTCAAGTATACCAAAGGGAATACTTACACTCCAATAAAACACAAGGTCCCTGCCATAATGGGAGGCATTACAGTTAAACTCATCCCATACTCTTCTGGCAATGTGGAGAAACCGTATAAAGAGAGAGAACAGGCAAAATGAAGAAACTTATTCTTATTAATACTGTGCTCTACTCATATAAGCCTCTCAGTATTGAGAAAACTAGGTGTAATAAATCCTTTACTAGCCACAGGATTTAGCAAAAACAAATCGTCCATTTACAAAAGCAAGATGTACTGCTGAGTTTCTTGATGAAAGGTCACCTAAAAGCAGAGGTTAACATAAAAATAACCTCCTCCTATAACTGGGTCTCAGTGATAAATAAAGCTTATGATGAATCAATAAATAAGGCCCAGCACTGTTGTGCTTGATGCTATAAGGAAATGAGGTCAGCACTACCAGACAACAATTACAAAAAGATGGAAGGAGAAAAGCAGTATACTACTCAGTCTTTCTGGAAAATGAGAGGTGAAGACAAGAGCAACAAAAAAATTTAAACTACTTTAAGAGAATATTTAACAGAATCCTTTAAATAATTAGCAATGATCAGGTATTTAGTTTTCAGAATATGTAGCTTGGCTGTATTTTTTTTCCTAGTAAAGCATTTCAAATTCTAATTTAAAAAATACTTTATGGAGAAATTAAAAAGATACAATAGCATCAGAGGACAAGCCATGATCCCAGAAGTAGAATATTCTAACAACATAACTTACAAGAAACTACGCTATAAAAACAGATTGTTGATTAACACAAGCTCATAACAAAACGCAGAGAGCGATCACAATGGTGCTGTAATAACACTTGGCTGCTGAATTCTCTCAACACGTTAAATATCTACTTGAAGAACAAATTACTTTACATTTTCTTAAAAGACAATTTATTATAGCTTTGTTTTCTTCTCATTATCTCTTAAAAATATATCTAATGAAGAAAAGAATACGACTTCTAAATAACTTACATAAAATGGCACTAATGTGTGACAACAGACTTTGGTTTACTATGTTGGTTATTATTTAACAGCACACAACAACCTATTGTCATGACAAATCCTTACCACAATGAGACATTCCATGTGTCACATGTATCAAAATCCACTGTATGCCATTATTATGGCACACATAAAATTAACAGCTTAAGGCTGCTAGCAATTTAAATAATTGATAAGTTTTCAATTAAAAAGGTAACATTTTCAGGTCTAATACAAAAATCTATTTAAATTACTGATAAAAACTTATGCTTCTGTTGGCCCAAAGCCAGAAAACGCTTACATCCAAAGGGAAAAAAAAAGTAATTCTGCAAGTGTCAACTCAAGACACTGTAGTTTTTTTAAAAGAATGTTTGAAGGATTTATGGTAAAAGTATGCCTAGTTTTGCTTTCCCCATATGGTTTTTAAAGAAATACTAAGGTGACTACAAATTTATTGAATTCCACGTGAAAAACATAGTTTGTTTGTTTGTTTGTTTGTTTAACAGTAAATACGTGGTATCTTCCCTAACCCACCACCCAAATCCTGGAATCAAAATTTTTCAGAGCCAAACTGAACCTAAAAAATAAAGGCCAGGGCTTCCCTGGTGGCACAGTGGTTGTGAGTCCACCTACCGATGTAGGGGACACGGGTCCGTGCCCCGGTCGGGGAAGATCCCACATGCCGCGGAGCGGCTGGGCCCGTGAGCCATGGCCGCTGAGCCTGCACGTCCAGAGCCTGTGCTCCGCAACAGGAGAGGCCGCAACAGTGAGAGGCCCATGTACCGCAAAAAAATAAATAAATAAAATAAAAATAAGCATGTCACATTCGAGAGTTAGCCAATCTATTATTACTGTGCTAGACCTTTCAGCAGACAATCCTACTCTGCCTTTCAAGGTACTGATGAGCCCTGCTCTAAATTCTCAGGGCACAAAGACTCTCAAATAAGTTAATGAGAAGTAAATGGGAAATTGACTTTTCCTACTCTGTGCTCGTCTGAATGCAACGCTCTGTTAATCATGCCATCCTTCTTGTTCTCTTTCTTCCTACCCTAAATTAAAACTATTGGCGGAAACCCATACAGATATTTCACAGTTTTCACTACGACGAAAAAATATCCTGTTTAAAGTTGAGGTCTATCAAAAAACCTACATATAACCTAACCACTGGCTGAGATTAGAGTCTCACTGAAAAGCAAGGGCCCTGATTCCATCATTTCCACCATAATACTACTTTGCATTTGTATAGAACTTTTAACTTTTCAAAGGGCTTTCACATCTATTATCCCATTTGGTCATTACAATGACCCTGTGCAGTAGAAAGGACAAGTATTATTATCCACAAGTGACAGATGAGGCAACTGCAGCACAGAAAGGTTACGTGTTTTGCCTAAGGCCAGGAAGCCAGAGGAGAGCAGCGGTCTTCTTACTTCCAATCCAATGCTCTTTTCACCAGACCACTAGAGAAGGTTTTGTACATAGACCGCAAACTCAGAAGAAAATAAAATAAAAATAAGAGAAAAGAACAAATCAGGGCTCAGGGAAGCTATGTCTCTTCATTGTCACTGAATTATTCAAGCTTAGTATTAAAGTTTTAGAAATGTATCCTTTTTTCCTGTTTATCTACTTCAGTCCTGAGACAAATGTTAATGCAAATTTTCACTGAAATTTGAAACACAAAAGAAAAGTCATTTCGGGATATATTCAAATCACTTAGATTCAGTAAGTAACCCTGCAGTTCATTTTGGGGTGGGGTGGTTAGCACATAAAATAACTGAGAGTACATCTTAAATCATGTATCCATATTAAGCCTGCAGCTACATTATAACTATAGTCTGTTTGTAAGGGTGAAAGAGATCTCCAGTTGAAAGTAGATTTTGAAAAATTTTTTAGAGCCCAGGGGTTCGTTTTTAATGAGCCGTTACTTTAAGTACTGCATAAAAATACAAGAAATTGATAGTCCATTTAGTCTGCACCATACCTAATGCAAAAGTCATTAAGATGCATTATTCTTAATGTTCATGATATGATCAGTAAGTGTCTTTTGAAAAGAATGCCCTTAACTTTCACGTAAGGAAATCTTTAAAAATCTTATATATTATATAGAAAAATGTTATAGCAACTGTGATTTACTTTTATATCTTCACTATGCCAAGAAACAGCATCCTCAATTACATTAACATTTTTAAAATAGTCCTCATTTGTAATATACTTACATATGACAGCATTGCCTTCATTTCTTCATCACTTCTCACTGTAATTCGATCACCATCTTCATCTTCATCTGTTTAAAAAGCAATATAATACAAGTGATAAGATTTGCATTTTTTTAATGTACAAAAACGATGTTCTCTGGGAACATAATACAACTGGTTTGTACACTTGATATCCAAATCCTCAACACCATATCTTGTGGATGTTAAGGTTATTGGTTCGTGGTTTTGTTTTTTAGTTTAGAATACAACCAGAATCTCAATAAAGAACTAAAAATTTTAGGAACAGTTGAAAATTAAAATATTGCTCATGTCATTCAAGACATGTATCTAAGTTAAAGTAAATATAGGGACTTCCCTGGCGGTCCAGTGGTTAAGACTCCATGCTTCCACTGCAGGGGGCACAGGTTCAATCCCTGGTAGGGAAATTAAAATCCCCCACGCTGCAGGTGTGGCCAAATAAATAAATAAATAGAAATTTAAAAAATAAAGTCAACATAACTGGAGTATGACTAAACAGGTTTGGTTTGGAGAAATTTAAAATCCAAAGAAAGGCCAGTTTTATTTAACTATTAGTACTTTTTCCTTTCCCACACGGCACCCCATCCCTCTATTTCTCCATTCTTCCTCTCTCTCCCAGGCAACCTGTCATGTCATAATAGTATAATAAAAATGGCTAACGTTTACTGAACACTACTGTACACAAGGCACTGTGATTTATGCTCCATACCCCCTTAAAAGCCTCACAATGATTCTATGATGTGGACAACATGACTTGATTACTATCATTCCCTTTTTACAGAACTGAGAGCCTAGTATAAGGTTAACTTGCAAAGCAACTCTAATACAGTTCTCCTCATAACCCACTTGATCATGTAGCTCTCTTTCTATTTCTTAACTGTTTCAATTGTACTGGGTACTCTCTGACCATAGTAAGCTTCAAATGGTGATTCGTGCTATTGTTGAATAATTTAATGGTCTTAAAACTAGAGGAGACAGACTTCCCTGGTGGCGCAGTGGTTAAGAATCCGCCTGCCAATGCAGGGGTCACGGGGTCAATCCCTGGTCCGGGAAGATCCCACATGCCGCAAAGCAACTAAGCCCATGCGCCACAACTACTGAGCCTGCGCTGTAGAGCCTGTGAGCCACAACTACTGAAGCCCGCACGCCTAGAGCCCGTGCTCCGCAACAAGAGAAGCCATCGCGGGCTTCCCTGGTGGCGCAGTGCTTGAGAGTCCGCCTGCCGATGCAGGAGACGCGGGTTCGTGCCCCGTTTCGGGAGGATCCCACATGCCGCGGAGCGGCTGGGCCCGTGAGCCATGGCCGCTGGGCCTGCGCGTCCGGAGCCTGTGCTCCGCAAATGGGAGAGGCCACGACAGTGAGAGGCCCGCATAACGCAAGAAAAAAAAAAAAAAAGAAAGAAAGAAGAGAAGCCATCGCAAGGAGAAGCCCACGCACCGCAACGAAGAGTAGCCCCCGCTCACTGCAACTAGAGAAAGCCCGTGGGCAGCAACGAAGACCCAATGCAACCAAAAATAAATTAATTAATTAAAATAATTTCTTAAAAAAAAAAACAAAACTGGAGGATAATAAGACTTCACAAAACACTTAACCAGAATGGATATATTTCAGTAAGTGGATCACCGAAGCAGCCACATCTAGAAACAACGTACTTACTTCATTGATCCTTCTTTTATTTAAAATAGTTTTGAAATATGTCTCCAAAACTGTTTTAATAACCTGAAGATAAACCAAGTGAAAATATCAGATCTGATTTTTAGCCCAAAATGGAACTGGCCATCTGATTACTCGCTCATCTATGCTATCTGCCAGGCAGGACCCAGAATGACTTTTGGCTATTTCTAAATATTTACTTAGCTCCTTCATCCTTCTAAAGATTAAGATCTGTCAACAGGATAAGAGCATATGTGGTAGACTTTAAATGTACAGTTGAAAGAAAATTGCTAAGAACCTTTTGAGCAATGGCAGCATTGCTGGAAGACGTACACAGCCTCCCAGGGGGACAACTTGGAAGGGGCAGGCTCTCTCTCATTTGGATGCCTCAGTTCTTGTGTACTTGTTAAACTGAGTTATTATTTTTTTGGTCACTCTTGGGCATCTAATTGCTGATTTGGTCAGATGCAGAGAACCTGATCCCAGGCCTGGGGAATAAGACAAATCTCTCACCATAAAGAGAATAAGCTAGCATGACACGCTCTGGGGACTCTTATTGAGAATACTGGGGGAGTTCAGTTCAGCACCTGGATCTTAGCCCACCACACCTCAGCAGGCCCTCCCTCCTGTCCAGCCGCAGTTCTTAAGATATCCCCATTTGGTGACCACACCATGGGAACCCTAGAAGGGAGCTTGTATTCTCCCTAATTAGCCTATTTCAGAGCAAAATGCTACCTTCTTTTTCTCTCCCACAGCCAATAGCAATCTGACATCATAAGGGAAAGCAGCACTTGAGCCTGTCCTGCTCAGTGACCAAGCCAACAGCTCTCACTGGGGTTTTATCTCCAAAGTAATTGTTCCTGGATCCTAGATACAGGTTCACTCCTGAAGAGTTTCCCAACTCGATGTAAACCAGTATCATCAAGTCACACTGTGAATATCTACATAGCTAGGAGCTGTCACAGTCACCACTGGTATTATCTACCAAGAGCTGCCTATTTTCAGTATAAAAGGCACACAATGGTCACTATCAGTAACAAAGAAGGCACATTCCTAGGGAGGTTACATATATAAAGGACTACAGAGAAATCTAGCATTTTCCTTCCCTCTTTTTTTTTTTAAAGCTACAGACTCTATAGAGCCAAACTGGGAGAGAAATGCCATTCTAATTTTGGAAACAGGGAGTTTCTACAGAGGTTCCAGAAACTAGTATTTTCAAGGTTAAGTCAAAAAGCTGTCATACAAATGCAGGAAACAAAGGGGAAAAAATAGACATTGTATAATGGAATATAATGTTACATATTACCACACATGAAAGCACTTTACATATTTTGTTTTAAAACCAAGTCAAATTCTCAATTTGGATGTGTACTAAAATGATTTGTTCTATGAAGTCCTGAACTTGATAAAATTTCCAGTCTGAACAAAGTAGCTTTTTGTAAATCTCTTTTCTACACTAGAGCTAGCTACAGAGATGGTGGCTACAAAGGGACAGATTATATTCGAATTTCAACATACACAAGATCTCAATAAGGTACTGTTCACATGGAATGAGGAAGTGCTTGGAGTTCAATAAAACAGGTGAAAAACCTTTTTATAATTTGTAAAGAGAAGGCACAGATTCCAGAAAAAATCATTTAAATCACATCTCTCTAAATCAGTAACAAGAACAACAACAAAAAGAATTCTCTAAGCTCTCAAAGTCAGGGCTTGAAACTTTAAGGCTACTTAAAACTAAAGATTCTCAAATTCTAAAATTCTATGAAATCTCTGAGGGATTATTTCAGTTACCGGAAATAATCTGGTAACTGTGAGGGAAGTCAGTTAGCAGACTAATCTCTTACATAGCAGTTCCATAGAAAGCAGCTATGAAACACTAAAGGGCACTTTGCTTTAAAAGGACAGAAAACTGAGGACAAAAGGCCAGAATAGCTTTTGATGCAAACCTAAAGTGCTGGAGCTGTCCCATAAGGAGACAAGGTAAGTGAAAGACGCATTCTAATAAAGCCTGAGGATAAAATCAGGTTTATACGACACAGTGATTAATAGTTTTATGGATTAATAAGAGCCTCCATTTTATGTAGGTAGTGCTTCCTTTACAGATTGCTCTTTGGAGGACTGTCTGCTTCATTCTTTAATATCTGTAATTAGTAGTTTTAATGAAGCCTCCTCATTCTTGTCAGAAAGGAGACTGAGTTGGAAAAGTAATTACACATAAGAGAAGACTAATGATTCTGGCCCAGAGGCAAAATCCAAGCTATCAGATGCCCTCATTGGCCTTGACATTTAAAATGAGAATACACTTCTCTCTAAATACAAGGAATTCCAAGGAAGACATACAAATGGCAAACAGGTACAAGAAAAGGTGCTCCACATCTCTAATCATCAGGAAAATGCAAATGAAAACCACAATGAGGTATCACCTCACACCTGTTACACAGCTATCATCAAGAAGACAAGAGAGAACAAGTGTTGGTGAGGATGTGGAGAAATGAAAACCCTTGTGTGCAGTAGGTGGGAATGTAAATTGATACAACCACCATGGAAAACAGTATGTGATTCCTCAAAAAATTAAAACTACAACTACCATACGATCCAGCAATTGTACTTCTAAGTCTATATCCAAAGGAACTGAAATCAGAATCTCAGAGATATCTACACTCCAATATTCATTGCATCATTATTCACAATAGCCAAGATATGTAAACAACTCAAGTGTCCATCAATGATGAATGGATAAAGATGTGTACACACACCCACCCAGGCACACGTGCGTGCGCAAACACACACACACACCCCCCAAGGAATATTATTCAGCCATGAAAAAGATGGAATCCTTCCATTTGTGACAACATGGATGAACCTTGAGGGCATTATGCTAAGTGAAAAAAAGAGAAAGACAAATACTGTATGATAGCACTTATATGTGGAATCTAAAAAACCCAAACTCAGTGTTACCAGGGGCTGGAGGGTGGGGAAATGGGGAGATATTTGTCAAAGGGTATAAACTTCCAGTTACAAGATTAACAAAGTCTGGGGATCTAATGTACAGCATGGTGATTATAGCTAATAATACTGTATTACATACTTGAACGTTGCTAATAGATCCTGAATGTTCTCACCACAAAAAAGAAATGGTAATTATGCATCAGGATGGATATGTTAGCTAACACTATGGTGGTAATCATTTTGCAATGTGTAATGACCAAATCAATGCGCTATACACCCTAAACTTATACAACGTTATGTGTCAATTATATCTCAGTAAAGCTGGAAAAAAATTTAATAGACAATGAATTGAGAGGAATGAGAAGTTAGTAAACGGTAGGAAAGTAGAAATACATACCAAACAATTTAGTATGACAATAACTTAAAATACTTTTCTGAATAAAAAGTT